GTTATAAGCGTATATTGTAATAGCTTAATTATAAGCTAGTTAGTTTTCATAATTTATGTATAAATATGAATTATAAATAGGCATAACTAGTGCGATATAATAATAATTTTTTAGATGTTAACTAAACTATTTGATTTAAATTTGATTACATTGTGATTAGTGACAAACTAATTAACTAAATTAATTAATGATATGAGTGTTTACTGTAATGTGTGATTACCAATTACGAAAGTTTTTATAAACAACTGTGTTACCAATACTATGTAATCAACATATTTATTGCTTGCCATAAGTTATATTAAAACGGTTGCTTATATTTTATAAACATTTATACTTATTTAATCATAATAACTAATAATAATAATGTAATAACAAATAAACACATTCTCTGTTAGTTAACAGTTATCGTAAAGTTTGTTAATAAGAATATTTTTATTAATTGGTGTTACCAAGTTAAACTTTTAACTGAACATGATTTAACAATCATGGATACGGATGACAGTCGACTGGCAAACGCAGTCAACTTAATGGCTGCTGTTATGCCCCCCATTGAAGTATTCATAAAAAATAATCCCAGATTGCACCTGGATGAAAAACTAGTCAACTGCCTGATCGTGGACATGGACTTCAAAGTGGCCGCTATTAAAGTGACAATACCGGTGCCCGATCGAGATGTGAGCGCACAGTGTGTATCAGATGTGGTTTATATGGTCACTAAAAATGCGTTAACCGAGTGTACGGCCAAATTGGACAGTAGTATACGGCTTGAGAAAGCACTGACTATAGCCACCCCACCTAATAATGGTAAAATAGCCGAGGTTACAGTTGTGGGCATAATAACCGGGCTAAGTGCGTCTACAATAGTTAATCAGCCCATGCCTACTACATTGTATAATAAGTATGTATAAATTACCAGTGTTATTATTAATTTTAATATTTAAGCTATTAGCTATTAATTAAACTAAATTATTTTTAACCATGTTGCTATTTATGTTTCAGTGTTGACAACATTGAGGCTAAGGTTGAGTACTATATGGTGTTCAGATCACCGGAAATCGAGAGCTACAGGATTCAGATCCGGGAACTCCTACAAGAGTACGAAAGGCTTAAGAAAATGCAATCCAAACGGCAAAACCACTTCTGGGAACTGGAGTCTGACAGCAAGACTCCCACACATAGACCGCAACCAGAGGTTGAGAGTAGAGATGAGGCACAGGGATGGCGTAAAAGGCTGTGGAATCGGTCGGACAGGCATACGGTTATTAAACTCACACAACAGGCCTTAGAAGTACCGGACGTTATACCCCGCGCACCGGTAGACACCACTAGTATTGGTGCGAGGTTTACACAGTCTATTGATTTATCTACCGGTGCAAACGACTTGAGAGCTAATAGCACCGGTATGTTTAGTATTATACTTTTATTTAACAGTTACCCTTTACGTACTGAATGAATGTCTCATTAAACAGTGAAATTCAGTCGTTCGCAGTCTATACCTAATTATGAGCACCGGGAGTATACATACGCCTCACAAACACCTGTCAAACAGCTAAACGTAAGCTATTGGTTGGTGTCTACCGATGCCGTACACGACAGCACCGACACTCAACACGGGTTGGCAGACACGACCCAATACATGGCTGACCACACGTCCCGCTCCCTAATCCACGACATACTGGTGCGCGAGTGGGCCAATAGACCGGGAAATATGTGTCGCACGGAGTTCCTGTATCACGTGCTGAACGTGTTTGTCACCCATGGGGTTAGGGTGAGCCACCCGTCCAGCACCCGGCTATTCGAGGCTAACGTATCCATAATTAAAGAGTTTATGAAGCGGTTGAATGTCAAGGAACTGGTGGTGATTGAAGTGGAACTACTGATAGCCCTGGAGAACCTGGCTTACAGTGAGCCCATGTTTAGATCGACCATTGGTGAGCTAATGTACGTACTGTTAGTGAGGGGTGTGGTGGGGGCCGAGGGG